TTTGTGTTAGAATATGGTTATATACTTTTGCGCTTAGTTATCAGGATTCAATTACGTTAGTTTTGATATGGTGGTGAAGTATAACGAATGTTATTGCCATTGGGTAGGTGTTATCCTTTTTTGTTTGATTCTATGACTAGTGATCAACTCATTATTATTAGTTTGATTGTACGTTCTCATATTCATATTAGTCGACAGCTGATGTAAAATATGATAAAACATCATAATTTTTTTTTCTATTTGCATGTATGAATGCATTTGATCATTACCACTATGAAGTATCACAAGAACTAAACTGAAATTTTATAAAATCAGTAAGGGTGTCTAATGAGATTCCCATTTTTTAAAATGAAGTAAAGTATTACCTCTATATTTTTTGAAGCCCAAAAGATTATTAGTTTATTTTTGTTTTTTCAAAAATGTCAACGACCTTTATTTAATTAATTTAGGGTTTATCTCTTTTAATTTTAAGGAAATTGTTTATATTGATACTAATAAAATCATGATCCTTGCATAGTTGCATCATATTCAAAGCATCCAAAACACTTCCTCTCAATAGGTCTAAACTGATAACCCAAGCCTAGACGTTCAAACAAAAGTCCAATAATCATATTTAGAAACTATCACCCTCATAGGAATGTATCGAATCACTAACCGTGTATTGAACAAATAGGATCCTACAATGACGTTATCGGTCTCCATACTCTTAACCAAGAACAAAATAAAAAACATTACTCAATTATTCTTGATCCAAAGACTTTCGTCTGAATCTATTTCAGGTCAGTCCCAACACAACTTCAGCAACGGCTTCTTCCATAGAGATGAATCGTGTTAGAGTATTTTTCCCACACTAGAAAGATATAAAACAATAAACCACTATATAAGGCTTTGAGCTACTCCTTCTATCAGGTTGACCTTTTTGGAAGGAACCTCGGGTCTTAACATGGTATCAGAGCCAATTCCGGTTGTGGTTTGACTGCTTGCTTAACACTCATGATTACAGGTAGCTTGTTAAGGGTCTGTTTGGCCCATTTATACACCCCGATATTGTCCAGTCCGATATACACCCCATTTATACATCTGTTTGCCCACGCTAGAAGCTATAAAATAATAAACCAAAATATAAGGTTTTGAGCTACTCTTTCTGTAAGGTTGACCTTTTGGAATGGAAGCCCGAGACTTAACACCTCTAAACCACGTCACCGCCTTTGGGGTCATTGAGATGTCGCAAGATTAGTTTTTTAGGCAGGCCTATGTTAGACTGTCAATGTAACACCCCAGCCCCGTAGGCCTTGAGGTAGTTACTTCTGACCTCTAGTACTGTCCTCACAAACCGCCACTAGTCTTTTTCGCCCGACCCGTAGGACCCGAGGTAATTACTCTAACACACCCTCCAGACCTCTAGTACTGTCCTCACAAACCGCCACTAGCCTTTTCCGCGCACTTTGTCCTCACTCGTGCGCGTCCTGAGAAACTTCCCAGGGGGGTCACCCATCCCAAAACTACTCCCGTTCAAGCACGCTTAACTTTGAGATTCTTGGCTAATGAGCTCCCTTAAAAGGAGATGCACCTTGTTGGTATGAGTAGTATCATTAATCCTCTTAAATTAATCTCGGATATTACAGTCAATCCTTCTTCCGTTTTTGGAATATCTTCTTTGGCATCTGGCAACACATTAATCTCCATCAGCTTTTTACTTTCATACTTTGAGCTCGTTTGGTAACACTGAAATCGGTTGAATCGATTGATTCTGCTTAAATTTATGAACTTCTGTTTGAACTGTTTGTATTGCCAGTTTCTGCTGATTTATGGAAAAATATAATTAAAATATATTTTATTAATAAAATAAAGAAAAAATCAAATGAAAAATAGCTAAAATGATCATCTACAATAACTTAAGCCAATACAACCAAAAAATTAACTTCAACCTTACTTTTTCTTATTATTACACAATTTAGTACGTGTTTGGTTAGTTCAACCTTACTTTTTCTTGATAAGCCGAAAAACATGTTGACCAAACAGGTTCTTTATCTTTTTATCTATCATTTCACCTTTTATTTTTTTGTGGATCAACCATATATACTCTTTTTTATTTTTTGAAGTTTAGAATTATAGAACAACTTTATGATTTACTTGTTTAAAACCCGCACTAAACTCACATGTATCTTAAATTATTAGACAAGTGTAGAGGGTTTGATGACTTTGTTTTTTTTGGCTTACTACGCTTACCAATCAACTTTTAAATCAAACACGTAACTTTTAATTTCATGCGTTAATTTTTGTAATAATAATAAAAAGTAAGGTTGAATTTACTTCTCTAGTTGTATTGGCTGAAGTTACTGTAAATGAGCATTTTAGCTATTTTTTCAAATATTTTTTTCTTTATTTTAATAATTTTATTAATAAAATATATTTCAAATATAAGTTTTTCATAAATTCGCAAAGTCAACCAATACAGACATTTTAACCAGAACTTCATAAATTTCAGAAGAATCAGCCGATTTCAGTGTTATCAAATGAACTCGTAGTATTTTTTGTGTGACAAATAGGCCCGGGACTTGGAACCATAAAACCGGAGAAACCGATCTGAACAAAACCGAACTGAATTTTATGGTTCAGTTCGGTTCCTGTAATTTTGGACTTCATCTTTTTTCGGTTGGGTTCCTATAGTATATGATCAGTTCGGTTCCGGTTTGGTTCCAGTTCGATTCCGGTTCCTAGACAGGAACCGAACTTCTTATTCATTGCATGAGTAATCTTCATTTGAGGTGCTTCTATGTGGATTTTTTTGATAAAATTTTGTGAGCTTGTTTTCAATGAAATGTAGATTATGCACTAAATTTGAGCTTATAAATCAATCGGAAAGTTAGTTAAATAAATTATTGAAAACACTATGTCAAAATACATATAAAAACACAATATTTTTCAATATTTTATTTAACTTACTTTCACATTGCATTTTAAGCTGAAATTTGGTGGATGTAATCTAAACTTCATGTAGAACATGCTCACAAAATATCATCAAAAAAATCTACCCGGAAGCACCTCAACTGGAGGTTGCCAGATGACGTTTCGGGCAGAAAATTCTTGTCAGGAATATTTGTCTTGCATAATATACCTTATATATTGTGGATCACGCCAATTTGAGTAGTTGTTATTTTACTACTTTAGTCGATTTTTATATTTATTATTTGTTTGTGATTGTATTTGTTGTTTGAGTTCACAATAAGGAAATAGTATTCCGCTGATAGGTTGTTACTTATTCATAGTAGATTACTTGTCAGTTTATTACTACGTACTTTTACTTATGATGCATTACTAGGAGAAGAATTTTATTTTGAGGTTGAACTACCTACTATTGGATGTGTACATTGAAGTTATTAAACCTTTTTGCTTGATAGTTGATGTCTATTTTAAAGGGGTTTCCCCCTTAATATTACTAAATTGAACTAAAATTCCAAAAATGTGAGTAGTTTTAAAAATTGACAAAAAATGATTAACAAGGTCATATATTTGGAATTGAAAAACATGATGTCACTGCAAAAATTTTGGATCACTGTATTCGTTTTTCATGTCACTTAGGATGGTCATCGTCAAATTTTTTCACGCCAATTACACCGCCACCTCTACAGTGACACCGTTATACTGACGCCGCTACAGTGTCGCCGCTACAGTGATGCCACCACAGTGACATCTGTGCCGCCGTCGATGTCACTATTACCTGTCGGAAATGTAAATTTCAATCAAAACCGGCTGCCACCCCGATGCCACCGCAACTGCCGCCTCCCCACCCCCCGCACCCGCACTCAGCCGCCTCACATATGGAAACTGCCGTTGTTGCCCTCGGCCACCAACAGTGACCACATCAGCCTCTCTGCTCGACAACCGTCCGGAGTGGCACAAAATTACTCTGGCCATTGCCCTCCGGTAACTTACCACCACTTCCTCCCCTGCACCACCGCTAACAGGCACCGCCTGCACCACAAGTCCCAAGCCCCTGCACCACTGCCACAGTAAAAAACCACCGCCAGTTCCCCACCGCCGCTGCACCAGCCCCCTCCCCGACCTTCCAGCCGTCGACCCAACACCAAGCCAAATCTCTGTACCAAAATAAAAAGAATGGCTAGATAAGAAGATAAAGAAGAACCAGATCTAAATCGACATGGCTATGGCGAGAAGAGAAGTGAAAGCGTCGTCCCTACTGTAGCGATTGCGTCCTCACCGCCCATCAACCCCAAATCATAGCTGCCGCGAGTCTGTAACCTAGCCACCGCAGAAGAGGAGCAACCGACTGGAGCACATGGAGTCATAGATCTGGATTGTTCTTCGATGATGGAGCAATCGACTTCAGAGAAGAAGAAGAGATTGGTGCTGGTGCTGGTGATTGTTTCTGCAATGACGACGTCGAGGGAGCTTGTGCGGAAGTATTCAGCGTTGGAGTCCAGACTTGTGCAGAGGTTTGGGCGGAAGAGGAAGATGAAAGCGTAAGTTGAAAGCGGAAGGTGGGATACGTTAAAAGTCAGGTCACTTTTCATTAATTTTCAAAAGTGGTCATATTTTTGTCCAACAGAAGCTGAGAAGTAATATTGTTGTCACTAATTCTATTTTAAACCTTTATGTTGTTGTTATGTTTAAATTTAATGTTTGCACTCTGATATTTTTGTGATATTTGAAAATCTGAATATCATGTATGTATAATGTAATGGTCATGATTTCATCATTTAAAATTTGATTTTTTATGTAACTGAAGGTAAAATGTGTTCATTTTAGGAAGATAATATTTTTTTATTAGGAACCAAAAAATGTAAGAATCGAACAAAATTTAACTAGAATCGGACCGAATTTAACTACTACATTTTTAACTAAAACTGAATCGAATTTGGCGCATATAATTTTTAATACGGTTTCGTCGAATTTTAATAAGAACCGAATCGAGCCCATGTCTAGCGACAAATAATAAATCTCACTTTGGGCTTGATACGGTCATACAGATTGCACTAAATTTTCAAAACATCAGCTTGTGGTCTGGAACATAGGCCCATATCAAGATTTTAGGTAGGTTTTCTGTTAAAACCCAAATCAGGGTTTTGTTCACGCCGCCAGTGATTTGTAGCTCTTCGATTCATCAAGGGCGGACCCGACACCGAGGTCCCCGACGGCATGGCTGATAAAATTTCATCTGAGAACATGGACGTAGTTGAAACAAAGTCCGACGAGGTTGTATCTGCTGAGAGTAGCGTCGGGAAGCGATCTAGAGAGGAGAAAGACATGCCGGAAAATGATGACAATGGCGAAGCATTGAAAAAGACGAAGGTCCAGAATTCAGTGGAAGAGAAAAAAATTGGACTCTTGGATTGGAAAAAGGGTGCTGATGGAGAGAAGAAGGAGGTCAAATCGGATCCAGTCACCGTCGGCCCGAAGACCTTCGGGTCATCTGCTGAGATGTTTGATTATTTCCACACGCTTCTTCATTCCTGGTCTGTCAATCTCAATTTGAATAAGGTATAAAAAAGCTCAAGAATTTAAATATTAAAACGCTCAGTTTGATCTTTTTTCTGTGTGTGCCCACAAGGCCGAATTTAATGTTTCTAGTCATCATCTTCGAGGTCGTTTTCATTATCAAACAAGGCTTCGCCGCTAGTCCTGCCTCCATTAGTCAGCTTCTCAGCCTTGTATTAATTAAAAGAAATTAGAACACTAAAGTTACACCCTGTGTAATAAAATATTAAACGTTGTGTGTTATATTCTACGGAGTATGTAGAATTATGTTTCAGATAAGACACTAAAAAAGTTGTTTTTAAAGAAAATTAAAATAGCTTTTGTACGCTAAATATACTGCGGAGCATTTTTCTAACATTTTAGGCGTTAGATGTTTAGATCTGGCCTGTATTTTACAACTATCGAATGTTCTTGTCCTTTTAAGTTTAGTCTGGTCGGTTTAAGCCTTGTTTGGTCTGAGACGGAAACTAGTATAATTTAAAAAATCTAAATTGGTAGGATCTTCTTGCACGCCCTTATTTTCCCTAGAAAGAAATATTTGTGTTATTTAAAATGTTGGAATATGCTGAATTACTGATTCAGGATACTGGTTTAACACTTTACCCTATATATAATAATCAGATTGTCTATAAAGTCTGAATAGAATTGTTCAACCCAATACTCTTTGCAAGGATTTGGATTGCCATTACCTCTAGACAAACTCCATGATCTTATGTGATCTTTTTTAAAATCTTATTCTAAAACTTAAATTGCAGAATATTGTTTTGATACATCTGCAAGGATTAGATTCTTTATCTCCTTTAAAAAAAGCAAGGATTAGATTCTTTCCATAATTTCCAATGGAGCCAAAGACTTGCTATCTTTTGGCTTGGGAATATGATCAAATAAAGCAAACTGGCTCACTAAACTGTATCCACATTTTTGCTATGAAGCAGGTGTCAGTCCATGCATTTTTACACTTTTTGACGTGATTTTCCTTAGCCCACCATAGGTGGGAGCCTTTGCGGCACTGGGGTAATGTTGTTGTTGTCGTCGTTGTTGTTATTGTAATTGTTGTATCCAAGGTTTTGAAAGGTGAAATCGGGCCTCGAGGCGTTCGGCGGTAGCCTTCCAAGACGTAAGCCTCAAGGCGTAACGAGGCGTAAGCCCTGAAATTTAATTGCTTACGTGTTGCTACCAGCCTATGACATACTTCCTCCGTCTCTTTTTAGTTGCAACATTCAACATTTCACGTTTGTCAAAACACAACTTTGACAGTCATTATATTTAATCCTTTATTCGTAAAAATAAAATAAAAATCAGATTGTAAAACTTAGTAATGAGACGAATTTAACAACATTTAAAAAAAAAATAATTCACATACATTAATAAATAAACTGTAGTCAAAGTAAAATACATGAATAGTGTATATATTCCAATGTTGCAATTAATGAGATACAGGGGATAGTATTAGAAAGTATAGATAATTCATAACAACTACGTAGCTAATCAAAATCACAAGTAAAAATAACATAACTATAAAATATTCAAATGAAAATAATATAAAACTGAAATACCAAAGTCAAAACTCAAAAGAACATAAAACATTAAAATTCTAAGACAAGAACATAAAAGTTTAGGAATTTAAGTTTGCAAATTGACAAATTGCAACTATTAATGTTCGAAACTAAGCCTATTGTCCTCTTAATCAGTATCCAAATTGGTAATCTCATTCTCATTGTCATCTCCTTCATTATCACGTGCCTCATTGTCTTCTTCAGTTCCAACCGTAAGGTCCACCCCTACACACATAAAGTCACAAAAATAGAATGAAATAGGATGGAAGTTAAGTGTAAATAATTACATTGAAGTGACAAAAAAATAAAATATTTAGTTATGAACCTCTGAATTCGTTGTCCATTTCATCAACAACTAATGCAAGTTCATCACGTGCATCCACACTTTCTCCATCATCTGCATTTGGTTCAGCAATCCACTCATCATCAGATGTTACATTTTCGAAGATCAAATTATCCTCTTTCTTTTGCAACCGGCTCTTCCTAAACTTCAACTTCTTGTTGAACATTATAAATACCAAACTATTCAACTTAATGGCTGAAAGACGATTCCTTCTCTTCGCTTGGACTTGATTAAATGTGCTCCAATTTCGTTCACAAGCGGAAGAAGAACACGTCAAGCCAAGAATTTTGACCGCAAAAGCTCGTAGTTCCGGAACATGATCTCCAAATTGATCCCACCATTCTACTAAAAAATGTTAAAGAATTAAAAAATTTTGTTTTACAACAATACACAAGTACACTATGTATAAACATTAAAGATATTAAAGATGTAATTTAATGTTTACTTGGGGGACGTGTTTTAAATGAATTTTGAGTTGCCCTCATTCCGAAAAGTCCACGCTTGTATCGATATTCAGCCATTTGTGCATCAGCTTTTTTAAAATCACTACTATAAAAAATTAACCTCTCCATACAAGCATACAAACCTTTCTTAACCTCCACATGAGTAGAGAAGTCATCCTCCCATTTGAATCTAGGATTCAAATAATACGTTGCATGTTAGCCGACCCCAATATCTTTTGGGACTAAGGCTTGGATGTTGTTGTATTCAAATAATACGTTTCAACATGCAAGTCCCGATGCAGTTGGTACTCCCACTTCTCATCAATTATCTTCCAAATCTCACTATAAATGGAATATTGATTTCCAAAATTTTCTGCAATTTTTTCTTTTGCAGAATCCATAACACCGTAGATGAATCCCATTGCGGGCTCATCACAATCAACAATACTCAACACTTCAACTAATGGCCTTGATGTTTTTATTGAGTAAGCAACCCCAGGCCAAAACGTTCTGTCATTCATTACAATCTTTTTAACCTCCTTCCCCTCAACAAATTTTGCATAACGACTTGAAGTCCACTGTTTAGAAACAAACATTCTTTGCAGGTGATCTTTTGCGGTGGTCATACAATCTAAAGTCAAGAAAGCAGTACCAAACCTCATGGGGCCTGGATGAACTAGGTCTTTCCCGATAAACTTCCTCATAAGCTGCAAAACCCATTCACAATTATAGATAAAATTAGTGACCTTCTTAGCTTTGATCAAGTCATTTTTATTCTGTGGCAGCTCTCCAATCTTCTCAAGCATGAGGTCAATACAATGAGCGGCACATGACGTCCATTACAAGTGCTTCCTCTTCTCCATTAAAAGTCTCCCAACAGCTTTGTATGCACTTACATTATCTGTCACGATTTGCACTACCAGACTTTCTCCTATTTCCTCAACTACTCTGTCGAGCAATTCAAAAAGATAAGTTTCATCTTTAACTCGATTCTATGCATCAATAGATCTGAGGAAAACACTACCATATTGGTTGTTAACAAGAATGTTAAGAAGCCCTCGGTTTCTTGTGTCGCTCCACCCATCTGACATTATTGTAACTCCGGTGTGCGGTCATGTCTTCTTCACTTATTCCACATATGTGTTCGTGGTATCATATTCCGCTTTAAGGATCCACATCTGCAACTCATGCATAGATGGGGGTTTAAAGCTTGCACCATAATTACTAACAGAACGCAACATATTAAAATAAGGACTACGAGCTACATTAAATTCTATCGCATTTTCAAAGAAAAATCTGCCCACATCTTGACAAACAAGATTGCGTTGCTCTCTCATGGTAGTTTTACACATTTTGTTAGGCAGAATGTCATCTTCTACAACTTCCTGCTCATTTGCTACATCTCTTGAGCTGCCCGGACGAGTAACGAAGCGATCAATAGGCCCACGCGGTTGAGGTCCAGTTACTCCAGTTCCAAAGTACGAGCCAGAATCTACCATTTCATTAAAAAACATCTGGTTAATGTGTTTCTGATCTTGATAGTTCTTCAACATTGCTAGCACATCCTTTTTAACATTTTCGGAAACACTTTTGCATGGCGCCACATTTTTATGTGTTCCCGCAAGGCGCTCTTTAAGTCTCCCCACTCCACTGGTGATCACCTTATTGCAATATTTGCATTTTTCATATACATAACCAGTCTTTCCTGTCGGAGGATTCAATTTAATTCCATACTGCCAAGCAGGATCCTTATCCTTATTTGAGCTAGACCCCTCTCCCCGATTCTTACTGGGTTTAACCATCGTGAGTAATCAGCCCACTCCTATGAATAAAATGATATTTTTTACAAGAATTTAAGTAAACTACTCACAATAAATAACTAAATAATTGATAAACAACTTTAATAAAAAAAAATATAATCAAACTGTATGAACTTAACTATAACATGTCTAATTAAAATTAAATCTTGACTGAAGTAAACTACTAAAGTACATAGTATTAAATTTTTAACAAATAAATTAGTATTTAGTAATGTAAATCCGTAAATGATAGTTGTATTATTACTTATGAACACATCACACATTAACACAAACAGACATTTATGATCTTTTAAATTCAAAACAGATACAAATATATTAATTAAACACTAAAAAGTTAAATAAACAGACAACTATTTAATAATTCATAACACTAGGCTCATGAATCATTAATAATTTTGTCTGACACATCACACATAAACACAAAAAGACATTTATGATCTTTCAAATTCAAAATAGACACAAATACATTAATTAAACAGTAAAAAGTTAAACAGTTAATTAGTTAAATAAACAGACAACTGTTTAACTAAAAAACTTTTAAATAAATAAAACGTTAAATAAAAACCTGCTCACCAGAACTTTTTAGAACTTAAATAAAAAGTTAAATCAAAAGTTAAAAGTTAAATTATAATTGCATACTTGCTTGCATACGTAACTTTTAATAAATGGAAACAGAACTTTTAAATAAATAAGAAGTCAAATATAAAACTTAAACCAGGAAGACAAATACACAATAACAAATTATAGAATTGGACTGTGGGGTATTGTATAATACGGTTAAAACCTGGATGGTTGGATGAAGCGGCAAAGATGCAGGGAGCTCCTGAAGTAAGCAGGTTGAGCCGGTGATGTCCTGACTCCTGAGCAACCGTTAGCCTGTTCTTTACTTCTTCAAGTTGCCGACTTGCCGTTTCTTGTTTGTGGTTATAGTAGAAGACTGGAACGGCAATTGTTTATAATAGGGCTGTGGCTAAGTCGACTAACGATCTAGGTAATTGGTGTTTAGGATGAAAAAAAAGGCCCCACTAATTTTTAAAAAAGAAGCCCAAGTTACGTAAATTAAAGGCGTACGCCTCATAAACGCCCATCGCCTTGGAGCCCACTCTACGCCTCTTCAAAAAAAGGCGTAAGCCTTGTTACGGTAAGCTCAGGCTTAAGCCTTACTAGCGTTACTCTAGCGCATTAGCGCATTAGCGCATTTGTGCCTTTGGTTCGTAAAGGCGTTTCGCCTTTTAAATCCATGGTTGTATCGGTAAGGATTAAATTGCACAATGTAGTTCTAAATGAAAGTAGATATTGATTGAACATTAGTTTGCAAGGAGCAATAGGCTTTTCCTTATTTTGTACATTCACTCACAAATTTCCTTAAAGAATTGAGAGATTAACTGGCATGCCTTACGGATGTGTTTGGAACTTGGAAAGTGCGAGTAGAAGTAGAAAAAAATTCACGAAAGGATTTTCCATACCTGGTTTCACCTTATATATGCTAAGGAAGAATTATCATTGATTGAAATTTGAAAATTGAAACTCTCAGTTTTTACGTAAATTTTGATTGCTTTAGTCTCCATTTTCACAATCTTTTGAATAAGATGAGTTTAAATACAAACTTAAAATAATCTTTTGAGTGATGTAATTTTTAAACTTTACCCTGCATTTTCTTTTCTTCAAAATTTCAATTCTATTTTCATTTCCTACTTTTCCATGTTCCAAAGTCCAAACACATCCTTATACACGCTTTGATGCCCAAGGAAGTATAATCTTGTGAATGTGTGTATGAACACATATATAGACCAATGCTGTATGCAGAAACATATTAAGAGACTGTTTAATCTTGATTCAATAGACGTCACAGGAACACTGAAATAATTGTTCAGCTACTTAGTTGTGCTTACTTACAAATTAATTGAAAGTACAGCTTATTCGCTCAGACCACAACCGTCTGATTTTCCCAGTGCTCACATGTGACACATCTATTTCTGATGTCGCTTCAAACCCAAATTATGCGTTTGATAATTCGGTTGCAGTATGAAGAAATTGTGTTGATGGAGTTGCTTAAGAAGGGGCATGCAGAGCCAGAGAAAAAGATCGGGAGTGGAATTGATGGATTTCAAGTACAATACCACCCTGTGTTTAAAAGCAGGTGTTTCTTCATCTTAAGGGAGGATGGCTCTACTGATGATTTCAGCTTCAGAAAGTGCGTGGACAACATTCTGCCCCTGCCAGAAAACATGACAACAAAATCTAAGGGTGAGCATGGTAATGGTGGTGGAAGATGGGGTGGGCGTGGTCGTGGACGTGGACGTGGCAGAGGTAAGTGGAGAAACTAAGCGAGTCCAACCGAATTAGCAGGTGAATGAGTCTAGTAAAGGCACTCAATTGATAGTCTTCCAATGTGATGGTAGAATCTATATTACTCAATTATTTGCTCTTGATATTATATAAGGAAAATTTACACAATTACACTACTGTTTTTGCATGTACTTTCTTTGAAGAACTATACAAGTTATAAGTTATTACACACATGTAATGATCTCCTTACCTATTTGTATTTTACCACTAAAAAAGTCTGGTATTATTATCTCGATCTCGTGTAAAATAGGTTCGCATATCGGTATGTCATTATGTATCCTCGGGCTTTTCTGTTGTGTGCCTTTTGGGTTGTTTCTATATGCCTAGGGTTGGACTCGGGCCGAGCCAACCGACCCGGAACCGGACCGGCCTGCTACTGTGCGGGCTTGGACCGGCCCAGTGAACTGGTTGGTTGGCCGGTTCGGGCCACCCGGCCCGGTGGGATGTCGGTTCGGACTCGGGCCCTTCAAAAGGTGAACTGGCCTGGCCGGTTCGGGCCCGTGCCGGGCCAATTCTTTTTTTTTTTTGAATTTTTTTTAAGTTTTTGGGTTGGGTTAGGTATTTTGGGCCATTTGAGGTGGTTAGGGTTGGTTTGGGGGTGAGGGGGAGGGTTGGGGGTTAACTAGGAAAATCCAAATAAAAAAGAACCGAGGCCCGGCCCGGACTCGGGGGTTACCCGGGCCTCCCCTTCATTAACCGAGGCCCGGTTGGGTCCAGACCCGAACCGGGCCTGAACTGGAACCGGTCCATCCCTATATATGCCAAACCCACACATAGGGACATACTAATAGTCTAATAGATTTAGCAATTTAGCTCAATCAGGCTTGTTGACCACCTATAGCTCACATTTAGGCTGGTTTTCCGGTTGGACAAGAACACAAGGTCCTGGTCCAGGACTCGGATTGGGACCGGTTTTCCGGTTCTAGGCCATATCCAAGACCGCGGACAGGAAAAGGGGGACCGGTATTGGGGCTCACTTTTTGGAGTCCCACTTCGTGTACATGCCGAGTTACACGCTGGTCAAATTGTCTGTATACAGATAATTTGATCGGTTAGACAGAAAATTTGACCGGCGTTTTATGAAGAAAATCGATTTACATACAAACAAAATATCAAGAGTTGTTTGTATCACAGACATTTTAAACCTGAATTTTTCATAAAGTGTCTGTGATACTTGGGATTGATTCGATTCGGGCCACCCGGGCTGTGACCCAGCCTGGCCCGCTACTGTGCGGGCCCGTAATCGGCCCGGTCTGGCGGTCCAGAACCGAGTGTGGACCTGAATCGGTGGGGGAAGCGGTGGCGGCCTCGGTTCAAGCAAAATGTGACTCGGCCCGGCCGGGTCAGGCCCGGGTCCGGGTCACAACGGCTATATTTTATTTATTTTTTCTTTTGGGCCAAAGATGACCGTTGGGTGGGCTGCAGGGGGGTCCGGGTGGTTTGGGGGGTGGGTGGGGTTAAAAAAACCCTATAAATAATCCTAATCTTAAACATTAATTTTACATTATGTAATTTATTCAAACTAAAACATACAAAAAAAAAAATTGAAATCAAAAGCCCCAAACGGCTATATAGCCACTTTGGTAGTTTGGTTGTTTGAAATTTGAATCAATAGAGGCATAGAGCCGTTGGGGGGTGGGGGGTGGGTGGGGGGTGGGTGGGGGGTGGGGGTGGGGGTATAAAAATTCTATAAATATTCTTATTTTCTAACATTTTTATACACATCTTCTCCAACATCCAATCTCTAATCTCCATTGTCCATCTTCATCTCTATCTATTGTAGAATTATTATATCTACCATTTTTAAGATGAAAAGTCAATATGCCGTTATACGGTATAATTTTGATAAGCAGAAGGACCCGAGGACCAGGATGTGGTACGCAACTTGCAAATGGTGCGGGAAAAAGTGTAGCATGGGTCATGGGAGTTTCAGGCAGATACGGGATGACAATGAAGCATATTAAGTCATGTGACAAAGCCCAAGGATCGGGAGGTACGGGAAGTTCCGATTGATTACAATTTACAAAACGTATTTGATATTGTATGTTTCTCTTAATTTTCAAATGTAGTTCCTATTTCATTTCAAATAAATGCACTTGAAAGCTTGTTTTTAATACTTGTATAAAACTATAAAGTATAAATTATATAAAAAATGGTTTTTAACTGGCCCGGTCCGGCGGGTGGCCCGACCCGTGACCCGGGCGGGTGGCCCGGCCCGAACCGGACCCGTCCAAACCTCGGGCCGGTCCCGGGTCAATGAGTTTCAAACCGGCGGCCCGACCCGGCCCCGACCCGGCCCGAGTCCATGCCTATGTGATACATACATTTTTTTTGTTTGTGTGCAAATCGGTTCTCTTTGTAAATCGCCGCTCAATATGTCTGTGTAGTCGATCAAATTATCTGTACACAGACAATTTGACAGACGTGTAACCCGACGTGTAAAATTTGGTGTGTACAAAAGGAATTTTCCCACTTTTTGCGACTCTTCTGTCCGAATTCAGGTCCCACTTTTTCTAGCATTACCATCAAAAGATACCCTTATGTCATCAAAATCTTCCTATATTTTCCTTATCCTTTTACTACTAAATTTCCACTAATAACAAGAGTTACAAGACCTCTAAATTCTAATGTTTGGTACCTTCTATTCTCCACTTCTCTTCAGAGTTCAGACTACCAATCCTGTGCTTATTTTAATTTTTACCACACTACTGCTGAGTCTGTTGTTCCTCCCATGCACGATCACTCTTCCTCTTCTTCCTCTTCTTTTACAGATGCTTTGGCGGAGGTAAACCTATCAACAAATTTTCCATTCTCCAATTTACCTTTAACTAGTGGTCAATTTGCATTTTGATATCGATTTTTCTCCATCTATTTGTGCATCCAATTGTCTTGGTTCCTTTCCATGAAAAACTTGAGAGTTGAGAGAGATGAAGAACGAGAAGATATGTTTTTACTTGGACCGTAATTCGTCCCAGACCAGATCAGACCAGACCAGTTCAGACCAGACCAGATCAGACTTGGATAGTTATAAAAATACAAAGAAACCAGACCAGACCAGACCAGACTAGGCCAACAAATTACAATCCAAGTAAAAACATCCATAGTCAGCGAGAGATGAGACAAGTGGGGACAAATGAGTTGAGGGGTTGAGAGGAGAGAAGGTGGGAGGCAGGAGAATAGAGATATTTATTTGGGGAGTTTACCAAAAATGGAAATGTAAAATGTGTTTGGCACATTCTAAATTGGAAAGTGTAAAGAGAAGGTCCGAGTCCAAAGGGTTGTTCGGAACTGGTTGGGAAATGAAATTATAGGAATCAATCTCGGGCCTCACTAATTTTTGTATGACCAATCGGTTCAGAATCGGTCACTCCTAAGAGCATCTCCATTCATGATCTTTAATAATCAATTTTTTATATGATTCTTACCATTTAAATATTGTTATGTAATTAATTATAAAATAATTTCAAAATTCGTTTATGTCTCTCAATCAACATCTTCAAATAATCTGTTTTTTCTCTGTCCCGCATTTATCTCTATTACATATAATTTTCAAATAATTTTAAAATAATCCGGATTCATATTTTGATCCCAGATTATTGTAGCAAATAATCCTATTAAATAATCTATGTCACCAATTTAATCTTGTAATAATCCTCCCAATGAGGATGCCCTAACGGCCGGTGAAGACCATGCTGACTTTGTTCGTTGTGGGTTCGCTCCGACAAGATTTTCAATTTTTTTAAAGAACCTTAAACACTTCAATTGGATGACATGAAGTTGTTGGGATGATGTTGAATTGTTGAAATGATGACATGACTAAAACTACCTCATTTGAGAAATAAGTTTAAAAGTAACATTTTTGGGAAAAGTTTTAAAAATACCTTATCCGAAAAAAGCCCTGCTTTTTATACGAGCGCATCTAAGTTAAAGAGCATAGATAGTACGGAGTATTTATGAACGAATATATAGTTAATTAAAGAAGTGAAACACATTAATTATGTGTCTCACAAATAATTTTCACATGGAGATTCACCCATGAATGTCGGATTCCATCCATATATAGAAAATAATATCTTCCTTTAATGAAACGTATTCATTGCACTTAAATACTCCAAATCAATATTCTGTATTTTCCAATCCAATTTAATACAGGATAGTAGTAAATTGATGAACGTTGTTTTGGTTTTCCCGATGTATAAAAAACGGTGTAATTGATGATTGTTACCGCACAGAGAAAATTAACAAGTCATTCAAAAATAAGGTATATATAAGAAGTTCATACAATATAAAATTAAGCTTCCCAAAATGAAGTAGGTGTATTATACAAAACAATCAATAGGTATATGTAATAATAATTAACTCCCTTCGTCCCATTAGAAGATTCTCACTTTTCTTTTTTGGACGTTCCATATATAGGTTCTCATTTCCATTTTAGGAAACAATTAACAATCTTAAATGTAACAATCTTAAATGACAAATTAATCATTAAATATTAAAAATAATACATGTATAAAATCACAATTATCAATACTAACTACATTATACGTAGTACAAGTAATATATACTCCCTCCGTTCCTAAAAATTCTTCCCAGTTTGACTTGACACGCTTATTAAGAAAGTTGAATAAAGTGGAAATGTATGGTTGTGGTTGTGTAAGAAAAAAGGTAAAATGAATGTGAGCCACACAAATTGTCCAAAATGGGAAAGTGGAAAGTATTTTTGGGAACAGCCCAAAATGGAAAGTGGGAAGTATTTTTGGGAACGGAGGGAGTACCTATTAAAATTATTTCTCAAAATATATTCGAAGTACTTTATTTAATTATTGTCTAAATAACCGTGTCGTTTTGCTATGGGAACCTTCCAACGGGACGGATGTAGTACTTAATATATGGATTTTGCTCCTCTCCGGTAACTGGAACTGTCCAGTAGGAGAGAGATGGGGAAATGGTGGGGTAGGGAAAATAAAAAGATTATGTTTAATTATTAATTTTAAGGAGAGAGATAGAGTGAAAAGGAAATGGAGAAAGTAAATGGAAAAAAGGAAATGGAAAGGAGTATGACCCTAAATATAGTCTCAAAACCGGTCTTGTCTTTTGCAAAAAAATATGTTAATTTTACATGGGTTTATGCAACTTGAATGGTGTAGAAGCTGGTGAGAAATACTCCCTCTATCCCGCTAACAATGGGACAAGAGGGAGTGACACGCAAATTAATAAAAAGTGGTTTATGTGGTTGATATTGAATTGATAAAGTAATAATGATTTAGAGTCATACAAAATTTACCAAATTTG